ACTATGACGAAGCGGGCGGCTCTCGTCTTTAACTTTCGTGCTTCGGTGGGATCTGTTGGGAGTTCTCCGTTCTTGAGATACTTCAGGATTGGAGTGAACCAGCATGGTTCATCCTCTTCGGTGTACTGTACTTCAGTGGGTGAAGTTATCTCCGGCTGGAGTGAGGTGAGGAGCGTCACCTTCCGACTTCCAATGCTGGCCATGGAGCTGCCTAGCCTAGCTAATTTGTCTGCATGGACGTTATTGGCGCGAGGTACTTGTCTTATCTCATAGCTCTCGAATTTAGACAAGAGAGTGTGTGCGAGAGCTAAATATTTGGCCATGGTGTCTTCCTTGGCCTCGTACACTCCGAGTACTTGGTTAACGACGAGCTGAGAGTCGCTTTGGATTAGGAGCTTGCGCGCTCCGGCTGCTAGGGCGAGGCGGATTCCCGCTATCAGTGCTTCGTATTCAGCGACGTTATTTGAGGCTGTGAATTCGAATCGTTGAGCGTATTCAAACTCATCTCCATCAGGATTCGTTAGTACAATACCTGCTCCCCCTCCTGTGGTAGTGGAAGATCCGTCGACGTTGACAGACCAGGTAGGTAGAGAAGTGTTCTCTTCTATGGAAGTCATTTCGACTAGAAAATCTGCCAACACTTGCGCCTTGATAGCTGGGCGGGGTTTAAATTCCACTCCATATTCACTTAACTCTATTGCCCATTTTGCTAATCGTCCGGATGTTTCGGGACTTCTTAGTATTTGCTTCAGAGGGTAATTGGTGAGAACCACCACCTGATGTGACTGGAAGTAAGGTCGAAGCTTCCGTGCTGCGTTGATGAGGGCGAGAGCGAGTTTCTCCATGTTGGTGTAACGTTGTTCGGCTCCTTGGAGGGCGCGACTTATGTAGTATATGGGTTGGTGACCCTTTTCTCCATTTCGGATGAGGACTGCGCTGACGGCATTAGCTGATGTAGCTAAGTATAGTAGGAGGGTGTCTCCGGGCTGAGGTTTTGTGAGCAGGGGTGGGGATGCTAAGTATGACTTCAGCTCAACGAATGCCTTTTGACATGCCTCATCCCACTCGAACTTTTTTCCTCCCCTTAAAATTTTGAAAAAGGGGAGAGCCTTGTCCGCTGATCTTGAAATGAATCTGTTCAGGGATGTCAAACAGCCGTTGAGCTGTTGAACTTTCTTGATCGATGTTGGCGGAGCCATGGAGGTGATTGCTTCAATTTTCGCGGGGTTGGCTTCGATTCCTCGTTGTGAAATCATATATCCCAAAAATTTGCCTCCCCGAACTCCGAATGAACATTTGAGGGGGTTGAGCTTCATCTTATATTTTCGCAGGGTGGCGAAGCACTGATCAAGATCCGTTAGGTGGTCCGAGACCTTAACACTTTTGACGAGCATGTCGTCGATGTACACCTCCATATTTTTACCGATCTGATCTGCGAACATTTTGTTCACCAGACGCTGGTAGGTGGCTCCTGCGTTTTTCAACCCGAAGGGCATGACTTGATAGCAGTAGATACCTTGGTCGGTGATGAAACTGGCCCTCTCTTGATCTTCTGGCGCAAGTAAGATCTGGTTATACCCTTGGTATGCGTCGAGGAAGCTGAGGAGCTCGCATCCTGAGGTCGAATCGATGAGTTGATCGATTCTAGGCAGAGGAAAAGGTCCTTAGGACAAGCTTTGTTGAGGTCGGTGAAGTCTACGCATAGTCTCCACTTCTCCCCGGGTTTGGGAACGAGTACTACGTTCGACAACCATTCAGGATACTGAACCGGTCGTATGTGGCCTGCCTCTAGAAGTTTAGCCACTTCTGCTTTGATATGCTTGTTGCGTTCGGGTCCAAACGTTCGTTTCCTTTGTTTGACTGGCTTCATCTTCTTGTCGACGTTAAGTCGATGTAGGGCTACCTGAGGGGGAATGCCCGATAAATCTTGGGCTTTCCATGCGAACACATCTCCATTGTGTCGCAGGAAGTTGATTAGCTGCTGCTCCGTCTCAGGATCTAAATCAGATCCGATGCGTAGGAGTTTGGAATCATCTCCAGGTGTGAGCTCTATGAGCTTAAGCTCTTCGACAGCCGCTAGCTTGATGCTATCGTCTGGTACACTGATGAGTATTTCTTTATTGTCCTCAATGATTGCATTGACCCACTTCCGTTTGTCGGATTTTTGGGTATCGTCTCCCTTTCCGGGCGGTTTAGGCTTCTTTGAGGGTTCTCGTAGGGCCCTTGCATAGCATTCTCGAGCGAGACGTCTATCTCCAAGCACTTCTCCCATTCCATAGGGAGTAGGGAACTTCCATTTCTGATGGTAGGAGGAAGGTACTGACTTGAATGTGTGGATGGCTGGCCTCCCCAGAATGATGTTGTAGGGTGATGGCCTGTCGACGACGAGGAATTTGATCAGTTTCGTGATTCGACAGGGGTCTTCCCCTAATGAAACAGGCAGCTCCACTTCTCCCATTGACAAAATGCCTTCTCCTGTGAACCCTTTCAGGGGTGTGGAGATGGGACTAAAACGGGCATTATCTATGCCTAGCTGCTTAAAAGCATGGAGGTACATGATGTCAGCTGAGCTCCCACCATCCACTAATATTTTCTTGACCAAGAAGTTGGCCACCGTTGTTGTTACCACTAATGCGTCGACATGGTCTTCCTCTGGACCTTCAAGGTCGGAGGAGTTGAAGACTATGCTGTGATCAGGTCTTCGTATTTGATATACGCGTTCGGATGGAGAAGCGCGTTCTTGATTCATGCGCGCTGATCGAGCGAGTGTGCGTCTTGCATTATGTGAATCGCCTCCCGCCGGTCCTCCGGAGATGAAGGAGATGATTCCTCGGGTAGGCTGGTTATCATTGTTATCTAGGTCACGTCGGTGACCCCCATCTTCTCGTCTTTGTTGTTGATCTCGGTTGTTGTCTCGGCGTGGAGGATCATCACGGCGTTTATTTCGCGGCTTATCGACGTATTCGCCTAAATGGCCCTGTTTGATCAGCCTCTCAATCGCCATTTTAAGTTGTGCACACTCTTCCGTAGTATGCCCTCTGTCCTTATGGAATCGACAATAACGATCCGATTTTTCTCGCTTTGCGTTTGGCTGCATAGGACGTGGAGGTTCTGCTAAACCTTTTTGCTCTATCACGTGAAGGATTTCCGTGAGGCGAGTGTTCAGCGGAGTGAACCTATTGTAGGAGGAAGAGGGTTGGCCTTGAGGTGGTAGTGGTGGACGTCTATCGTCGCGCCTCCTATTGTCCTGACGGTCGTCTTCCCTTTTTCTTTTAGGAGGAGCATGGGTAGAGGCTTCCTCTATCCGGACGTATTTTTCGGCTCGATTCAGCAACTCCTCTAAGTTGCTTGGGGGTCTTCCGGCGATAGATTCTTTGAATCTACCAGGTTTCAAGTTCTGCTGCATAATCCCGGACAGCATGTCTTGCCCCACACTGGGGACTTCGTGGACGGCCTCTACGAAACGCTTAATGTAGTTACGGAGCGTTTCGTTATCCCTCTGTACTACAGAGAAAAGATGAGCTGGGGTCTTGGCATATTGTTTGTTGATGGCGAACTGGTTGGTGAATCGGGTCGACAACCGAGCGAAGGTGTCAATGGACCCTATGGGTAGGGAGTTGAACCAATTCATTGCCCTCTTGGAGAGAGTGGTACGGAACATTTTGCACATCGCAGCGTCCGTCGGGCCATATAAATCCGCCATGGCACTGAATTTCTCTATATGTTCCTGTGGGTCGGTGGTCCCTTCAAATTGAGGTAACCCCGAAATCTTTACTCCCTGAGGTAATACCTCGTTGAGAATGTCCGTGGTGAAGGGACTGCGTCTTGTTGGGAGAGGCATTCTCTCACCTATTTGATTATTTGGTTGGGAGAAAAGGTTTTGGCGTGACATTCGGCTGTTTACCTCGCCTTCTCCCTCATTGAAGAGAGGGACTCTCGGTGGTGATGCGTTCCCCCGTGGGGGTGAGCGTCGACGTTGCTGTCTGGGCAGTGCTCCTCGGTGGTTGGTAGATAACTGCACTCGGGATCGTGGATCCGAGGTAGAGGAGGAGACACTTATTTGATTCGCTATTGGCTGTGGGGCCACGGGTGGCGCTACAGGTGGAGCTGGTGCTGGTATCGCATTGGGAGCGTTTGCTCCCATCGTGGCGATGTATTGAGTTACAGCCTCCGTGGCGGCGCGAGTAGAAGCTTCCGCTATCATACGTTGGAGCGCATCCTCGGTTATTTGAACCGTTCGAGGAGCAGGGAGAGGTGGATCGGCGAGTGGTGGGTCCCGAGGGGGGATCACCTGAACCTCGCGAGGTGGATCTGCAGTACGTGGAGGAAGTTGCTCCGCGGCGCGTGGAGGGGGTGGGATGCCAGATCCTCCACGGGTGGGGAGGTTATTAGCTGTGTCGTTTTCTCTCCGAGCTGATGCCTCAGGAGGATCTTGTTGGCTACGTGATCTGGTTTGCATCGTTCCCACAGACGGCGCCAAAATGATGATGCTAAAATATAGCTCACCTAGGGTGGTATAGAAAACGAGCTGGGAGAGCAAAGCTGATCAGTAGCTAGTCAATTCGATGTTCCTGAGGTCCCTACAAAATGAGCACACGTGAACTAAGCCGGGGGTTGATCCGGCGGAAACCCCTCCGACGCTCAAGTCAGATGTGCGGATCGTAGAGAGAGTAGAGAGAATAAAACTCGAGGTGAATTGTCCATAAAAATGAGAACGTACCTTTACAAATGAATAATACTTCTATTTATATGTCGTTGATTGAGTTGGGCTTATTTTGTTGGGCCCAAGCCTTATTTTGAAGGTGCTTGGGCTTTCGTGTAATGGGCCCGAATACTTTCGTGTATTGGACATAATTGTTAAATGAATTGGGGCCCATTGGGTCGGCCCAATTAGGTATATCAATTATAAATAAATACATTGTGAAATTTTTATTCGATGATTTAAATTGTAGAAATCATAGAATTATCATTTAAATTTTGAAGTAATATCATTATTTTAGACACTATATAGCACTCTCTCCAAATCATAATTGAAAACCAACATTACAAAAATTATGACCAAAATAGCCCTAGCTACATATAGTTCCTCCTTGTTTCAAGAAACCAACAACACAGTTGAATCACTTCAAACATAGTATTTCTGCGAAAAAACACAGATATAAATCAACGGCATTTCATCACAATAAAACACGAAAAAACAATATCGTCAATCTTCCGATTCAGATTCGGCACTCTGCAGCCACTCAACAAACGGCTTAACATTCTTCCAAATCGGAGACCCTTTATTGCCGCCATTTACGCCCTTCTTGTACCACTCCACAATGAACTCCTCTTCCACCACATCACTATCATAAAGCGCCTTCAAAACCAAAGCCACCTCTTTCACCGCCTCGTTGCTCGCTTTTCCACAAAAGGACTCTACTGCACGAAGCAGTACCGCCTGCGAGCCCTCTTCCTCAACTGCAGCCGCAAGGTAGTTCCTCTTCTTCACAACCTCTTTAGCAAATCCTTTTCCAACTCCTTCAAACAATGCCTCGAATAACGCATCGGTTATTTGCTGTTGCGTACCGGAAAGAGACTGCAGTAGCGATTTGAACTGGCTAACAGGAGACCCTTTCTTGATAAACTTCTTGATTTCGTTCGTAGCCCTTTTCGGAGAGATTTTACCTGATTTTGGCTTCTCTTCATCGGTCGAGAGCATAACCATACTAGCTGTGATAGCGTTAAGCTGCTCTTTGATTCTTTGTTGAGCAGCTAATGAAGAAGTATCCGTTTGCCACTGGATGTTGTCGTCGTCGTCGTCGTCACATTCTACTTCATGGTCATCTGCATGGCTACTGCCATTCGGAGAATGGTCTTCGTCTGAGTGAATAGACTTCTTCTTGGTGATTGCTTTCGCAGCTACTTCCTTTAAATTTCCAGACGAACCCTTTTTCTTAGCGGCATCTTTCTTGAGCTTCTTCACCTCCTCATCGGCTACTTCTCCTTCCTTGAGCCGCTCCTTCTCAGCCCGCCTCATTGCTTTCTTGTCCTTGGATCCTTTCTTCGACTCGGGCGGGTTTTTCAGAATGAAAGTTGTGAGCTTATCCCTCATGTCAACCTCCGAGATGAAACCGCATGCGGCACACTTGAGATTGATCATCTGTGACTTTGTAATGATGATTTCCGTTTCGGGGTTGCCACAGCCGTAGCACTGCACGAATTTCTTGATGAAGTTCTCGAGAAGCCCGGCCAGTTTCGAAGTATCGTGGGCCCCGTTGACATGTGAAGCTCCGGTCTTCTCATCAAACTTGGACTGAGCTCCCAATTCGCATCCGAAATGCTTGGTCGTGTAAGAAGCAGGCCTGCCCAAAGCCTTTGCAATATCAACCATGTTGACTATATTCGTTTTGATGCCATTCCCGCGGCCCTCGATTTTTGTTATCATTCTGGGCATCTTGTACCTGTAGAAGGCATCGTCCTTATTTCCAGCACCGATATTTTGCAAATCCATTTTCACAAATAGGTAACAATTTTATCTGAAGGGAAGCAAGTTATCTTCAAAAGAAGTTCCTTCTTTAAAATCGTAAAAATTCGTAACAAACGGTACAGGCCACATGAACTGGAAATCTTGATAGAGTGGCTTGAGATGCATGCAGCCGATTATTGCAAGACGAGAATATCTATCCTTTTTTCTAGACGAAGGACAGCGCTCTTCGAGTAACCCTAGTGACGATGAAAGGAGAGAGGCTCGTTCAGACATAAAAGAAGTTTCTAATTTAACACCCTCCACTTTTGTCGACTGGAAGTACCGCAGGTCTTCTACCAGCAGCAAATCTTCTGCAACAAAAAACGAATGTATAATTCATAAAATGAATCATAACACCAAATTATTAATAAGCTTTCGTAATTAGCCAATATAAATCTAGCTTAATCCAGATACAGCCTCAAAAATTTTGCAAGTAACTAAACAAAAACAGGTCCAATAAATCCAATATTCACCACAATTATAAATCCCTAATTAAAACAAGCTGAAATCGAATTACAGTCTCAAATTAAAATCATTATACAAGCACATAAATTCCAAATCTAAATTACCAAAATAATTTCCAAATCAAATCATAATTCCAGACGATCAATCAGGAGGGGAAAAAAAAAACTCAACCATTTGTGCCATCATATAAATCTCAAGGAAGCAAACATCAATCCAGAAAACACAAACCCAACAGATCAAAAAGCTAAACCGCATTAGCCCAAGCGAGATTAAAACGAATAAATCAGAATAAATTAAAATTACGAGATGAAAATTAAAGGTAAAATTAAAATCTACAAATCAAAGACAAAAAGGAAAACATGATTTATCGGGAGAGAAAGCTGCAAAAATACCTTATTTAAGATGAAAAATGAGAAGAAAAACAGCAATTCAGGTAGAGAATGTGCCTTCTTCTTCGTCGACGTGGTTGAGGTGAAAAGCAATTAAACGAGGGAAAAGTTGTATATAAATGGAAGAGATCTGATCTCATCCGTTGGATTAAGATTTTACATCCTGACCCTTGACTCTTCATTTATTTAAATGTCTCTATCTTCAACTATTTTTTCTCTTTATTAGCTTGTTAACTCTACTCCACTCGTCGACCACCCCATGTGTCTTCATGTTCCTCGGTATGAGTCAAACTTTATCGTACATGGCAGACTTTGACTCATCGGTAGTCCCCTGATCGATGACTTATGACTTGTGATCCTATTTAAAGCAGAATGTGGACCGGTGAAGAATAAGACCAAAAGAAAACTCTAAACACTTGTACATTACCCTAAATTATACTCTCTGACTATGAGATTTGGGTATGTGTTGAATGTGTGAGTTGTAAGTGCTTCGTTTTTTGTCTTCCTCTGTAGTTTCTGGGTGAAATTGAGAGAGGAAGAGAAATTCTCTGATATGAGATTAGTTCTCTTATGTTAACCTTGATGATGTAGGTGGAGTTTCTTATGATATGTGAATTTGAATCAATTGTATTAAACTCCATCATTTCTTTATTATCTTGTTTCCTTTTCCAACTTGTAATTATTCTTTCAACTATGTAATAATCAATAGCATTCTTTATTCTTTATTGATATTTGAATTTTGAAAGACCTATGTATTATCCCTAACATTGGAAAATACATGACCAACATGTCATATGCTAACATTGTGTAATGTTCAAGAAACATCTTTTGAGGTTGTAAAGTTTTGATAGTGCAAGACACACATGTAATGACAGGGCCAAATTCATCATTAATTAGCCTATTGTCCAATGTGACTGTGGACAAGTTTAGCTTGTAAAAATCCATTGTTTCAAAACGGTTATTTAATTAATTACGACTGATTAATCTCCCCTGATCTGATTAAGAGACCTTATTAAATAGTATAATCATGCCTCGAACAAGACATTGTTAGTGACGTGACATGCCAAAATTATTTGAAGCCAAAACCAAACAAATGTCTAAATCCACCTCCTTAATTCTTCGACAAAAATAAGAAATAAATAAAAATAAAATAAATAATTCGTAAGCTTTCCTACATTGTACCAAGATTCCATCAACATTCTCCTTTTTCCAGCTCCATCACCGCCCATTCTCTCTCTCTCTCTCTCTCTCTCTCTCTCTCTCACACACACACACACACTGACACTGTATCTATATCATATATGTATATAAACCCGATTCTGAACATATTCTCTCTATCATGAATTCTGGGTTTTCTCTTTTCTTTTTTCTTTATATTTATTTATTTATCCTAAATTTATACACCTTATAGAAAGAACAGAAAACCATGAAATCTAAGAGCAGTACGAAGGTTTCTGCAAAATGGATTTTCATTTTCTCCACCTGCTCCTTCTTCCTTGGCATAATGTTCACCAACAAGTATATATATATATATATATATATATATAACATATAATATAACCCACTTCAATAAATTCGATTTTCTTGATTTTTTTTAAGGTTTTTTTTGGGGGGTTTTAATTAATTTTTATGAATAACTTGGTCGGGGTTTTGCAGATTGTGGGTCCCACTGGAATCCAACAACCAGCTCATAACTCTTAAAAGAAGGGACCAAGAAGAGCTGCAGATCACCTCTTCGGACTGCAGTACTGAGATAAAGGTTCCATTTTTATGTGTCAAATTTTCTGTTTTAACTGTTAAAGATTCAATTTTTATTTAAGGGTTTTTGCTTCAATTTTTAGTCTGAATTGTTTTGTTTCAATAGAAATCAAGAAACCAGGACAAAGATGTAGTGAACGAGGTTTACAAAACCCATGAAGCAATTCAGTGAGTTCATAAATATTTTTTTTTTTCAATTTTGAGTTTTGCACATTTAAATTTTATATTGGGAAAATTAATTAATTAATTCAGGTCTTTGGACAAGTCAATATCAATGCTCCAGATGGAGTTGTCTGTGTCTAGAAAATCTCATGAGAAAATGAAAACTAACGATGATTCGTCGTCCTCTGCGAGTTCTATAAGGAAGAAGGCATTTATGGTAATTGGTATAAATACGGCTTTTAGTAGTCGAAAAAGGCGCGATTCTGTTCGACAATCTTGGATGCCTCAAGGTAGAATGAAAAATCTAGTTTCATCTTAGTTAATGTTGACTCGTTCTTAATTAATTTTTCTAACGTTGGTAACTTGATCGACAATTTTTTTACGATTTTTTAGGGGAACAACTTCGTAGATTGGAAGAAGAGAAGGGGATTGTTGTGAGATTCATGATTGGACATAGGTAAATAAATTGCTCGATATTTTATTCGTGTACACTGTTTTCGATAGTTAGTATCTACTGTCGAGTAGTGATATTTCATCGTCTGATTTTAAGTCGATTTTTTTAATGTAGCGCCACATCGAACAGCATACTGGATAGAGCTCTCGACTCTGAGGAAGCTCAACACAAAGATTTTCTCAGGCTGGTAAAAAAAAATTAGTCAGATGCCTTTATTATTCCGTCTCGGAAAATATGCGGAATTTTTTATACATTTTAATCATTTAAATATTAATTATAGGATCATGTTGAAGGATATCATGAATTGTCTGCAAAAACAAAGATTTTCTTCACCACTGCTGTTGCAAAATGGGACGCAGATTTTTACGTCAAGGTTGACGATGACGTACACGTTAATTTGGGTAAAAGTTACCGTTTTTTTAATCTTTCGAAAATCCACTCAAAAATATGTTTAAAATGATTTAAGTGCAATTAAATGCAAATTTATCGAATAATTTTTGCTCCTAAAGGTACATTAGCTGCAAACCTCGCACGCCATCGATCGAAACCGAGAGTTTACATTGGCTGCATGAAATCTGGACCAGTTCTTGCTCAAAAGTAACAACACTTATTACCTTTTAATGTTTCGTATTTCAATTCTTGACATTTAATAACCGGATTTAATTTGCAGAAATGTTAAATACCACGAACCGGAGTATTGGAAATTCGGCGAAGAAGGAAATAAATATTTCCGTCACGCAACAGGGCAGATCTATGCTATCTCGAAGGATTTAGCCACCTACATTTCAATCAACCAGTAAGAATCCGCTCGTAAATACGAAGTCTAATAACTTTAATAAATTAATATTATTTATTACAAAACTCCTAAAATCACCCAATTTTTTTTTTTGTTACAATTGCAATATTTAGGCCCTTATTACATAAGTATGCAAATGAAGACGTGTCGCTTGGTGCATGGTTCATCGGACTTGAAGTCGAGCACATAGACGATCGGAGCATGTGTTGTGGTACTCCACCAGGTACGAAAACTAAACTACTATATCAATAAGCAATTAAATATGTAAGAATTCATTTTTACTCATATCGAAAGGGCTATAATGAATATGTAGATTGTGAATGGAAAGCACAAGCGGGTAACGTATGCGTAGCCTCGTTTGATTGGAGCTGCAGCGGAATCTGCAAATCGGTCGAGAAGTTGAAATTTGTGCACGAACAGTGTGGTGAAGGAGAGGAAGCTCTCTGGAATGCTTTATTATAAAATCTATGTGTAACTTTAGCTTCTATCATTTTCTTTTTTTTTTTTTATTATTAAAGAAGTGTAACTTTAGCTTCACAAATTGGACCTCATGCATATATAATTTATTAGGGTACATTATGGGCATCTATGAGGTCAAATTATGAAAAAATCCTTCATGCTTGGGTAATTACAACCACCCTTAATTATGAATATTTTTATACGTCCATTCTTATGGTGTCAAATTGAATAGAATTTTCTAGAAAAAAATCTTTATTGAAAAAATTGTACACCCTTAATTATGAATCTTCTTATACGTTCATTCTTATGGTGTTAAATTCAATAGAATTTTCTAGAAAAAATTCTTTAGTGAAAAATTGTATATAAAGTCAATAGCTCTTCATACAGCAAAATAGAAAGAAAAAAAATTGTATATAAATTATACACTCTCGTGTGCTTCCTTTCCTAATTATCACATACAGTAGAACCTCGATAAATTAATAACATCGATTAAATAATAGTTTCTCACGGTCGATTCAATGAAAACGTGTTAAATATTATTAACTCGATAATTTAATAATTCGCTAAATTAATAGAATTTTCCTTGTCCCGACGTCTTGAATAACAACCTGTCATAGTCTTCGAAACGGCTCGTCCTTGTAATTGCTCGAGAATCGTTGCTCGAGAATCGTTTTACTTCTCTCGTCAGTCGATCCGGCTCGTCCTTGTTATTGCTCGAGAATCGTTTTACGCCTCCCGTCAGTCGATCAGTTTCGTAGATGTTAGTGTACAACAAATACCAAAAAAACACAATCTTTAAAATAGATTTACTAGAAACCGAACGATGCTCGCAACAACATTTCAGATCGAGTTTTTCGACTCCTAATCTTCACAAATGCACTGCTCGAATCTTGGTCGTGTTTAAACAAGCGGATAATCTGAAAGATTGAATCTTGGAACCATAACGGAGCCTGAAAAAAAAAATTCGTCTAGCGAATCTATTATGAAGCTGGAATCGTGAGTCTTAAAATTATCGTCGCCGTAAAAAGGTCCTAAAACATCGAAACAACTCAAATCAAGGGTTGATACATCTTTGTAGAGAATGCTCGTTTTCGCGGCATATTTTGTTAGTCTGCCTTCTGTAAACGAAGTCCAAATATCATCTACGATATTTCGAAAATCGTCTACGATAATCGGAATATCATCTATCTGATTCCGAATATCGTCTACGATATTCTTTAGCAGTTGAAAAAAAAAAACGAGGGTTTCGAGTTAAAAGAAACAAACAAAAATACTAATAAAATTCACAAATCAAACAGAAATTGAACTGAATTTAACAAAAAATATATGGATAAATATATTGAAAATCCAACAATATATTGACCAAATAGAGCGTGCGCTTCGAATTCGAACCTGATCGTGCGCTTCGAATTCAAATCCAAAATTTATTTCAATTAATTTAGCGAAATATTAAATTATTGAGTTAATAATTTAACACCTTCTCATCAAGTATGGATGGAGATAAATTATTATTTAAGAGGTTCAAGGGTAATAGAATACTTGAAGATCCTCAACAAGTGGGTAGAGGAGGGGGGTATTATAGTAATTTCGGTTTCAGGTCTGCAAGCTGGGCCGACAGAAAAAAATTCGGGCCACGGGAATTTGAAGAGAAATATTGGACCGGCCCGATACAATCGATTTCCCTGCACATCACTCATTCCGTGGGGTTCGTTGACTCAATCGATCCCATCGATCGGCGATGGAAAATTCCGACGTGTTCAGCTCGTCCACTGCACCGCTGACGTGGCACGACTTCCTCGAGCGCATGCGCCATCCCTCCGCCGCCGAATTCGTCAAAGGCATCAAAAGGTGTGCTGATACACACACACACACACACACACACACACACACACACACACACACACACACACACACACACACTGTTGTATGCAGAAACCAATTGCATGTTTGATGATTATATCTAGGAAATTGAAGCTATTTAGTGTTGTATTTGCCAGCCGAAATTGTTGTTCCCGTTGCTGGGTATGAATCGACGAACAAAATTAGTGGTGGATATGTTCTATTTCAGTGAATTTCGGATTTAGTTGAAGTTATTTGAGCCTAAGAGACTACATTTGGTGAATAATTTAGTTGCTGGATACAAAATTAATGAATAATTTGAACATAAGAGGCTACATTTGGTGAAGAAAATAATTAAATTACCTGACTTTTAGTGAATTTTCGACTGTCTACATATTTATGCCACTTCAATTTGTAGCTCCTGTGCTAACTTCGTTTAGTTATTTAATGGTGATGCCAAAAGAGTTCGGTTCTTGTCTGGTTGGTTCTCTGATTTCAATATGATTTGTGTAGTCGGAGATTTTTTTTTTCTTTCTTGAATTGTTTGCGAATTGCTATCTGTATCGACTTCTGGTTAAGCATGAAATGGAGATCTTGCAACTTTGTTAATCTAGGATTTATGTTCTTTTGTTATTTGTCTGTCGACTGAAACCACCCCCAGTATGTGTATCTGAGCTGGAATATCTGCAGTTTTATAGTGTCGTTTTTGAACAACGCGCCGGATGCAGAAAGGGACAGTGCTGCGGTACAAGAATTTCTCGGCAATATGGAAACAGCATTCAGGGCTCATTCCCTTTGGGCTGGATCTTCAGAGGAGGAGTTGGAGAGCGCAGGCGAAGTGAGTGTCTTTCTTATCCTAACACTGAACTACAATGTTGGAAATTTTCTGTTCCGTAATTATGTTGATTTTTTGTGAATATTTGTTTGTGTGTTTTAAGTTTTATGATGTTATAGACACGATAGTTTGCTTCATGTTAGAATGTGAAGTAGCTGTTGGAAATCCGATAATAATTCATACCTAAAGACTGACTGGTATTTTTTTAGTGACAAATTCATGCTGAATTGGGATATAGTTCTTTTATTTCCTGTTCCTGTCTGGAGTCATTTTTGTTGTTATGTGTACAGACATGATTGTATCCGTTATCAGTTTTTAGAAGTACTTTCTTGATATTTTAGGTTTACTAAAAAAATAATATGTTATTGCCCGATGATGCAGTGATTGGAGAAATATGATATATGCTTGGATCTGTATATTCACAATAATTATTTAATGGCAGGGATTGGAAAAATATGTCATGACAAAGTTGTTCACACGTGTGTTTACTTCAATTCCAGAAGATGTCAAAGCTGATGAGCAGCTTCATGAGAAGATGTCTTTAATTCAACAATTTATTCGGCCAGAGAATTTGGATATCAAGCCGACATATCAAAATGAAACTTCTTGGCTGGTGAGTGAAGCAATGACCCAAATTATCTTCTTTAAATGCTCAAGTACATTCATGACATAAGGGTACAACTTAATGCAGTTTGTGAAAGGTTCTTGGGGATTCATTTTCGCTATTAGAAAATTGGTTCTCTTTCTCGAATTGAGGGTGAAAACCGAATTTTAGATTAAGTAAATATTCTTTATCCATTAGGGGCTTCTACATTTAGTGCTTGCCAGTAAGCTGCAGTATGTGATATTTTGGCTTGAAAACTGAAGGTTGGAATATGGATTTGAACTTCTACCCTACAATTTGATTTGTATCAGCTCCCCTTATATATCCAACTTGTCTGAACCCAATCAATTTGTTTTTGTGTCAACTGTTGTGGCTTAATTTTGACGTCATAAGTTGGGAATTGAGGAAGTGTCGGTCAGTATTATAATGTGATCTATATGCTGATCTATGTGCGCCTTATGGGTTGGACTTGAGATGTGATTAAGGTACAAATTTGTTGACTGGTCGTACGACATTGTACGCTAATCTGTCTTTCCTCGGGGATGTGCGTGCATCTTATTTCTGCAACACTGTCGAAAAGTAACTTTCTGGGAAAGGTTAATGTTTTCCTGACTCCATTTCGGTATAACTATTATGGCAGCTTGCTCAGAAAGAGCTCCAAAAGATTAACATGTACAAAGCACCAAGAGACAAACTTCTCTGCATTCTCAATTGCTGCAAAGTTATCAATAACCTATTGCTCAATGCCTCACTTGCGTCTAATGAAGATCATCCTGGAGCCGATGAATTCCTCCCGGTTCTCATTTATGTTACCATAAAGGTAATTTGTGCATTTCTTTACCCCTTTTTCTTGTGGATTATTACTCGATTGAGGTGCCATTTGTCGTTATGTTTTTTGAGATCACTATTAGGTCCGCCACAATGAAACTCTACGTATGTTATACAGGCAAACCCGCCTCAACTGCATTCCAACTTATCATACATACAAAGGTTTAGACGCCAAACTCGCTTGGTTTCAGAATCAGCTTACTACTTCACAAACATGCTCTCTGTAGAGTCTTTTATCGCTAACATTGACGCTAAAGCCCTTTCGATGGAAGAAACCGAGTTCAAAAACAACATGGAGTCGGCTCACCAACTTCTATCTGGCCTCTCCGAGACTTCAGACACACACAATCAAGCAGATCAAAACATCGAACATGCTCCTAGGAAAGAACCCACGCCCCCCAAACCAGCTTCAACTTCTACGAGGCATCAGCACTTATCAACACAGGTTTCTGTCGAATCATCTAAAACCATACCAAAAGATGACGAACAGTATCAGGAAAATAACTCGTCACTGAACAAAATTCCGTCAATTTCAGACCTGGAAAACAAAGGGGCTACCATGCTGTTGAAGGAAGACGAGGTGAGCAAATTAGTCTTTCGGGATTTCCCGTTTTTGTACTCTCAATCTGGCGATCTTACGGTTGGAGACGTAGAAGATCTGCTCAATAATTATAAGCAGCTAGTCTTCAAATATGTCTGCCTTGCAAAGGGATTAGGTGTCGCAATTCCATCACCTTCGTTATCCAATTCCGATGTCGAAAATTTAGAGCAGCCTGAAATTGCAAAGGAATCGGACAATATAAAAGAAGCTCATGTAAATGAGAATATGCAAAACGAACTTCCGACAGCAACGAATGATTCAGGCGAAGAATCGGTTATTCCTATTGAAAATAACGAGTCGAAGATATCGGTAGAAGCAGCTCTTCCATCTCAAGGTGAGGAAGGTAATGAAAATCCTCAACGATAACCATCGTCACTTTATTAAAATTATGCAGTTTAATTATGTACGGTCGGTTCCTTTTTTTGTGTGTGTTGTTGTAAAGAAGAGCTATTATTCAAGCGAAATTTATGTTTTTTTTCAAAATTTGATTCTTCTGCATAAAGTAAGATATATAAACCTTAATTAGTACTAATGTCCTTACACTTGGTAAAACAGAAGGCTAATATTCGTTCGCATCGATACGGTTACGTTCAATAGTCCCATTTTTTGTTAGGTCTTTATTTTCATGTTTTGATCGATTTTATTGAGGTAATCTGCGCCACGTTTGGTTGTCTGATTATCGAATGTATGATAGTTGAAAAGGAAAAGTTTTCTCTGTTCATTAGTCTATAACACTCAGCATCTACAGAAAAAAACAAGTAGCCAGCGAATAAGTTTGGGCAAAAACAGCCCAAAAAAAAGTGCTTATTTTAAGTTACTGAAGGAATAAGAGCTTTATTTCATTTCAGCTGTTGGCCAACACAGGAAAGTGGATAAGCTAGTTTTTTTTTTCTCAACCACTGCAACATTAATTAATTAATAAGCTTTTTGTAATGTCGAAAGTGGTGTACATCTGTTATTTGAGAGAAATGTGGGTCTACAAGCATGCATGCATGCATGCAATAACATTAAAATAAAGATGATGTTTTTTTTTTTATTGATTTTTTTTTTTTTTTTTTTTTTTTTTTTTTTTTTTTAAATATAAATGTGTCCGAGACACGATCCGGCAGAAAGATCAAATGTTTGGGGACCTTAATTTAATTCTTCTTGGGTTTTTTACTCATAAATAAATTGAAAAAGATGAAGAAGAAGAAGTTTCCTCATGAATTGAAAAAGGCAATAAAGGGGTTCCCAAGATAGACTTTATCACGTGCACTGCACATGCTGACAAATACTATGGTCGGGGGATGCTTGTCTTGGTGTCAATAAATTTATTTATTTTTATTATTTCTTTTAGGGTAAATTACGGTCACCTCCCTGTAGTATGGTTAAATTACAAAAAAAACCTCTTGTTTAGGGTAATTACAACCACTTTTCAACTATGAATCGTCTTGCACGTCTACTCTTGCGGTGTCAAATTTAATGGGATCTTCTAAATTATGTGGAATATTCTCCAGTAAAAGAGATGATCACAAAATGCGTCTCTTGGCTTGTAAAACCAGATTGTAGTATATCAAAAAACTGTATTTCTACACAAAACGAGTACATACTAGAGAACATTTCACGGGATCTAGACGATTATGTTAAATTTAACACTATAAGTGAACATGTAATAAGACTCATAGTTGAGAGAGGTGGTTGTAATTACTCAAACAATAGGAAATTTTTCATAATTTGACCATACATCAGGGGTTGACTGTTCTTTATTATGATTAATGGTGTAGTACATTATATTTCTAGAGTTTAACCAAACGTAACTAATGGTGTGCCTAATATTGCAATAAAAAAAGAGAATGATATTCATGATTCTATCTGTTAGAGTTATGTCATGTCACATTAGTGTTAAGTGGCCAAACAAAGTTGACTTTATCTAAATAAATGGCTATTTCAGGCTTACTAAAAAAGAGAATGAAAATGAATTCATCATAATAAAAAGTTTAATTTTAATTTATTTGGGAAAACTAAAACATTACTCCCTCCGTTCCTAAATAAATGTCTCTTTTCACTTTTCACAAAGATTAAGAAACTCAATAAATATATCTTGATTTTAAAAAAATCATATAGAAATGACTAAAACAACATTTATTATTTAATGATTTATTAGAGAAAAATAATAATTAGAGTTTCATTAATAAGGTTAAAACAGGAAAAATGCATTTAATGCAGTATTGGAAATCGAAAGTGACAGATAATATGGAACAAAAATATTTAAAAAAAAGAGACAGTTATTATGGAAAAGAGAGAGTATTTCCTTAATATTTTGTTAATTAGGAAATAGTTCCTAAAAGGGCCCCCACACCTTTTATGGAGCATTCTCTTTTGCCCCAAAAGTTGAAAGGAAAAAGTTAATTAAATTATTATTATTAATAATAATATATATGTAGACAAAAGACAATCGTGCCCAAGATAAATGAGGAACACTCAATTCTATTGGTTTCAACTAATTTGGAGCTTCATGTATTGTCTACCATTCCCCCTTTTAATATATATATATATATATATATATATATATATATATATATATATATATATCGTTCCGTAAGTGATCGATGACCTAGCTTAGCGGTTGGAGCGACTGAATTTGTATCAATTGACTAAATTTCTAATCCACTTGTGAACGCTCACTGAATCGAGTTTGTTATACATGGTTAGTCTAGTGTGGTTCGTTAAAAAAAAAAAAGAAGTGATATATCCACCAAACCCTAGCTAAGGAAGTAAAGATATACAACTGTGATCAACTAGCACGAATTAATATTATAAATTTTAAGGTTGTCTAAATTATTAATATTAAAATTTGCTTGGCCATTTACACATGTATAACTTTTGTTCCCACTTCATATATAATATGTAGAGGTGGGAGGGGTCACGTATATATATATATATATATATATATATATATATATATATATATATATATATATATATATATATATATATCCAAACTTCAAGATTACTCCAAAAAGATGAATGCATATAGAAACCATCAAAATTATAGTCTTGAAATGATTTACAAAGCATTGCTTATAATATGAGAAATGGCATGATATACACAATTATATATATATATGAATTGTCATCATATTTGACATTGCATACTTGCAGGTTGATATTAGGACATTTGGTCCATAAAAGATAGCAACCTTTGAGACAAAAGAAATTGTGACACCATTCACCACATATCTTCTTGTCTGAAATTATTGAATTCATCATTTTCAAAATTTTCATTTTCTTTCAAATATGGATATAAGTTGCTTTCTTAATTAATTGAAATTTCGCGTACGTACCCTAGTTTTTGCATGTTAAATATGTATTGTTTACATGATATAGGTACCCAATGTGCAATATAATGAAAGTTGAAGGACTTAAATTGAACTCGACGCCGGTCCGCTACACAAATTTCAATATTATGTGCAATATTGACTTCCCAATAAAGTTCCAAAATTTCTCTTACGTTTTCAAAAGTCGCACTTATCTGAACAAACTTCAAGACACTACTCATTAATTTCTTGTAATTAATTAATTCGATTAAAAAAATATATATATATATATATATACATATAGCCAGTTTTTAATAAATTGAAATAATATTAGTATATCACAGTATTCGAATGATTTAATTATTTTTTTAAATTGTAGAATAATATAATAATGCGTTTTTACCAGTTTTACCTAATTCAATTTCAATGGGCAAAACCTAGATTCCTACCCTTTAATGCATTAATTAATAAATAAATAAATAATTTCAATTCGAGAGCTGACTCTTTATATAATTAAATATATCAATTTCTCTGTTTTACTTTTACACGCATATTTAAGTGTGTATATGTGTGAACAATACACACAAATTTCTTCTTCTTCTACTTCTTTCTCTCTCTACACTCGAATGCTCTCTCTCTCTTTCTCTCACACACAGTGACACACACACAGAGAGACGATAAGAAGAAATGAGGAGCGGATATGATGATGAAGATCATCATCAAATTAGGATTAACGATAACTTGCAGAAAAGAATTTACATGCCAATGTTCTGCCGTTTGTCGGTTAAAGACGTTAAATTAAACGATCATTACAGAGATCCCATTTCCTCCGGCGAACCCTCCTCCCCTAAAGTCACCTGCATCGGCCAAGTCAAACGAAACAACCGTGTCACCGGTTATCCCTCCGCCGCCGCCGCTGCCGCTGCCGCCACCGTCAACCACCACCACCACCACAACAACAAACCCATGATCAAGCTCAACAAACTGTTCTCCGCCAGCAAAACCCAGCTCTTGCCCAGCACCGCCGCCGCGAAAACCAGCACCTCCTCCTCCGGCGGCGGCGGCGGAGGAAGAAGTGGGAGCAGAAGCTGCAGAATTGGAAGAGAAATGCGTGTGATTAATTCGAGAAGACGAAGGGTGAAGACCACTGATTGTGATCGAGATCGAGACTGTGTCGTTGCTGCAGAGGTGGTGGATATTGGTGGAATGGATCCGCCGTTGCCGGTGGTGAAGAGGGTGCCGCCGCCGGAGGTCAATATCTGGAAGAGAAGGTTTAACGGGGTTGGGTTGCAAATCGAACAGATTCATTTACCGAACAACAACAAATTTGAACCACCCCCAACAACTGTATAATGAATTCATATATATATATATATATATATATATATATATATATATATATATATATATTATATATATATCAATTCAAAATTCAGAATTTATACTAATGTAAATAAATTCAATATTTTACATTTTTCTTTTTTAGTTTCTTGTTTAATTTCTTTTTAAATGTAAAGAAAGAAAAAAAAATGCTCGATAAGTGATGCAAAGCGCGTAATCGTGAAACAATGCAGTTATCGTGTCAAAACAGGGTCAACAAGTATCCTACTACATGTTACGATACTTCCCCTAGGGACAGTATCAGAATTTCACGGAAACGAATTTTTCCTGCAAATACAACTTTTTACGCGGTCTTAAAATTCAAGAAAGCTTTCTTCATTTGCAGGATCGAAACAAAAAAAAAAACGGAAAAACGCAGTACGAATCACAATAATAATATCCTGCCCCCTCTCACATATAAAAAAAGAAAAACACTCAAAACGACTATTATTGCAGGTCACCGTTTTAATACAACCGGTTGAAATAACAGCTACTTTCTTCCCCTGTTAAGCCGCTGAAGGTGATAGTTAATGCTACCCAAAGGCTTTCGTTTATTGCTTGTCTGAAAAACGAAATAATCGAGTTAGTATATTATTAGTATACGCTATTTAACGGAAACGACTTCAATTTGAGTCAAAATTACACAATTACCTGAGCATCCATGCAGGCGCTCAAGTTCGACTTTTGCCGACTGCACTTCTGATCGTTGCCTTGACTTAAAGACAGACAACTAAGAAACGTTATCATTTCTTTCATGCACGGTTTTTGAAGATTCGCAAATTTCTTCGGGTTGATGGATAAACTGCCAGCTTTTCTGCCCATTTTCTTCCCTAGTTAAAATCCCACAAATCGAGTTTAAACACAATGTCAATGAACACATTACAGAAATATTTTGTCGAACATTTCGTACTAAAATAACAGTAATTGGAGCTTTTCAATAAGCCTCTATCCAAAAAACAAGTCAACGTGTAGCATTGGTTACGTAACGAGGATGTGGAAAAAGGCAAGAGTTAAGCAAACAAAACAAACACAATATCAAGAAACGAGCTTTTGGTTCGAGCAAGAACCATCCATGGCTTGAATCGAAAATACAAATCCATGGCATACATATTAGGTAAGACCTCTCTACTAACGCATTCGTGTTGGATATGGGCATAAAATCCAACATTTCAGAGACAAAGGTTTTTACGAGCATACGGTAACTGTTGCGTTTATATAGTTTTAATTATTATTTAGATAGTTATATTTTGAAGATCACTACACTTTTTTCAGAAAAGATGGTTTCTTTCATTACTCAAACGCAACCAAAAAAGTTACATACAAATTACACACACACACACACACACACATATATGAACAATTCATCATTTACACAAAATTCATAAACCAGAGACATAACGAAAATACAACAATTAATCTCCTGAATCAATTCTAACTGCAACTGAATTTCATTAGGGTTCCGAAAATTTACAGCTCCCACAATTTATATTCACATGGAAACTACAGATTGAAACAAATACATATAAAAACAATCAAACAGCAGCGCGTATTCATCACACTATAAAATGAAAAACCCCAACCGAAAAAGAAAAGAAAAGCAAGCTTGTCCGGAGAATCATTCATACCTTGGTGGAGGAGACCGGCGAAGGTCAGTCGAGATTTGGGGATTTGGCACAAATCGAAAATTGCTCGGCGAGCTTCTTCTGTAACTAAGTGGGCCCACTGGGCTATCTTGGATCCGAATCAAAGCCCATTTAAATTTAATTTGGGCTCAATCAATTTTTCTCATGAACACGTTTTGTCCAAATTTAAATTGTAAAATTAATTAATTGCATTTAGAATATGGTAAATTAAGGCCAACTATAAAAAAACTCTCGTGTTTGGTAATTACAATCAGGGGTAGCCGTAATTTACCCTTAGAATATCTATATTTTTCGAAATAATTTTGTTCCACTTCGTACACCTCCGAAAGATTTTGATAATCCAATTTCATTGCAAAATAAATCGAAAATGTAAAATTGAAATGAAAAAAACTTGTTCCAAAATCTAGATTTTTTATCCAAATTATTATTATTATTATTATTATTATTATTATTATTATTATTATTATTATTATTATTATTATTATTATTATTATTTAAATAAAAGTCACACAAAAACAAAGATTAAAAAAAATGGGATGATAATAATTCGAACTAATCAAACAAATTATAGTCGTTATGTCTAATCACACGACTCTCCAAATAAGTTCCTTTGAAGTTGTTTATGTTATATTTCGGGATAATTACAGTTTTGGTCCCTCAAGTTTGCACGTTTTTCTCTTTTGGTCCCCCATTTACCGTCGTCAACAAAATACACACTAATGTTGTCACATTTTATCACATTTAGTTCCTCCGTCTGTTTGACCGTTAAATAGTAACGGTCAACGGTTGAATTTGGGGTTTTTCTTTGAGAAAATTGCAATAAGACCCATGTATTCTTTCAAAATATTCTAAAAACCTCTAAAAATTTATCCAACCATAATTTAATCCCTATTTCAACAATTAACAAATTTTAACCAATGACCCCGATTTTTCAAAATTGGGTAATCCGACGTTGACTTTCTTTTTAACTCGGTTGACTCTTTTGTCGATTGATATTTTTTTTTTGTTGTTGACCGATGTTGAATGTCGGCTTAACAACGTTGACATTTTTTTTCTTGATTTTTATTTAAATTGTTCAGAAATGGAAAAATATAATTAAAAAAATTAAAGCTGATAATCGGCGAGAAAATAATATCATAAAAAAAGTCAAAATAAAGAAAAAAATTAAACTGTCAACGCATCTCAAGACGGAAAAAATTTAAGACAAAAAAGAAGGGATAAAAATTAACAGCCGGTGTTAGCCCAAAAAACCATTGTAATAGAGTGGTTTTCTCATTCCAAATTACTCCGCACATGCCTAATTCATTTACTTCATATTTTCTTGGGAAGAAATTTGAGATGCACTGGCGGTTCCATGAAGAAAAAATTGAGGGGAAGAAATTATGGATTTTGGAATTTTTTAAATTGTATTTATGCCCTAAAATTTTAGATAAAAACTTTCTTAGAAGTTTTTAATTTTAATATTACGATACTAGATATTAATATAGTATTATTATTGTGTTATACAATAATTGTGTTGATCGGAAAAAAAAAAGTCAAAGGAAAAAGTTCGTAAAAAATCAAGAGAAATAAGAAAAAATCAACATTTTTAACCGAGAATTCAATGTAGGTGAACGAAGTCAAAATCAATATTAAATAAAAAACTCAATGCCGAAAAAAAAAGTACGAATTAAAAAAAAAAAAAATTCAACAACGGTCAAGGGTCAGCTGTAATGATTGTAATAATCGGGGTCGTTTGTCAAAATTGATTAAATGATGAAATTGGGGTTAAATTAGAGTTGGGTAAAATTTTAGGGGGTTTTAGAATATTTTAAAAGAATACAGGGGTCTGAGTGCAATTTTTATCTATGAAAAATCCCAAATTCAGCCCTAATTCAATAGTTGACCGTTACTACTTAACGGTCAAACAGACGGAGGGACTAAATGTGTTAAAATTTGACAACATTAGTGTGTATTTTATTGACGGCGGTAAATGGGGGACCAAAAGTGAAAAACGTGCAAACTTGGGGGACTAAAACTATAATTATCCCTTATATTTCTCTACTTTTTCTCATCCAATGTATATGTGTACGAATTTATGGTAAAAGTATTTATAATTGTAAGATAAATTTATAACAATAATATCTTTTTATTAAGAGACAATTAAGGGAAAAAAAAAAGGGGTAATATGCTAGGAGCCCTTCGAATGAAACTTAATTTGAACTAAATGACAAGTTCAAATCCAATCTTTTAATTAAATCCTTTATTTGAATTAATATATGAGCCACATCCCTATTTTTTTTATTTATTCCTATTTTGCCCTTATACCCTAAATTATCTAATTTATACATTCACGTTTTTTCAATTTCAGATTTATTTATTTTTATTTTTATTTTTATTTTTTCTCCCACGTTCTCTCACTCACACACACGTTTTCTCTGTCTCATATTTTGTTCGGTGTTCACAGATCACAGTTTCAATGGCGGCTTCACGTTATCTCCTAATCATTGTTTGTGTTGTTAATGTTTTTCTTTTTTCCTTTTCTAAAAGATTTGATTTTTTTTTTATTTGAAATTGCTTGATGACATCATTTAGCGAATTAATTCTGAGAATTATATCAGATTTTCCTGATTATAACGAGAGTCTGGCAAGAGTAAAACTCAATACCATTTGTTTGCTTTTGTTGGTATTGTTTCCTCTAATCTAGTTACAAAAATTCGTACTGTATAACTTTTAGTTTTTCGAGAGTGTTTTATGGATGCATAGAAATTCCTAATATCAGCTCTTGGGAGGTTTGGAACAATGCTGTAGTTTAATTGGTTCAATTCTCGCGTTTTCTTTCTCAAAACCCTCTATTCTCGTCCTCGTTTTTGACTAATCAATTGGATCTGATTTCCTTGTGTTTTAAAAGATTTTTGCTTGGTTTGGGTTTTAATGTCAGATCTAGATTTTTTCAAAGTTGATAGGTGACTACAGTCGCAGCGGCTACAATCGTTGGTTGCTAGGGTTGGCGGCGGCTGCTAGGGTTGGCGACGGCTGGGATTTTTTTGGTGGCTAGGGTTTGGTAGTAAAGTATAGTAAACCGTAGTATAGTATAGTCATCGTAGTATACCATAGTATACCACTACATTGTAGTATACTATAGTACATCGTAATATATCATAGTCTACTATAGAGAAATTGAAAAATATATAAATTGAAATAAAAAGAAAAATAAATAGCATGTGTTTGTTTGTTTGTTTTTTTTTTTTTTGTTTTTTTTTTAATTCTCAATATTATGTAAGAAAAAGGAAAAAAAAAATAAAGAGATTTTAATAAGTGTATAAAATGCTAAAATGAATGAAGAAGAAAAAAAAAAGAAGACAAACGGATATTCCGAAAATATTAAATGCATAATAGATAATAATAGATAAGATGATAAATGCAGTTTAGAATTTACTTAATGAATATTTTGAATTTGTGGGTGGAGGGGCATTTTTGGAATTAATTTGATAAAGGATGTGAAGCAAATGTTTAGTTAGGCTTGTCATTTACTTAATGAATATTTTGAATTTGTGGGTGGAGGGGCATTTTTGGAATTAATTTGATAAAGGATGTGAAGCAAATGTTTAGTTAGGCTTGTCATTTAGTTCTAATAAGTTTTGTCACTAGGGACCTATATCCTAAGACCCCAAAAAAAAAAAAGAAAAAAAGGAAAGGTGGCTACAATTCTGGAGGCGCGTGTAAACACGAGTCTGAACATGGAAATTACCGGTAAAGTTTCTATCGGCGATATATGTATATATGTTTTCTGCAGAATGAAAGCAACTTAAACGGATATATATTGATAAAGGAAATTAAAGCATAAACAGAGTTGTTACAGTAGAGGAGCAAAGCAGCAATGCCGATAGTTTTAGCTTTCTCATTGGCTGTTTGGGCTGTACGATTGGTTACCCTCTGTGCCACTGTTGTTTATGCTTCACTTGCTCTTGCAATACGAAGTGTTGCACTATATCCCGTTATCGTTAACGACATAAGATTAGCGACTCTATTTGCGATTGTCGTCTTAGTTTTCCACGTCCGCAGTGCAAAGAACGTCGACATTATTAGTCGAATGCCGGACGATATTCTGATTTCGATTCTAGAACGTGTGGATTTACTATACGCTACTAGGACTTGCGTTCTTTCCAAGAGGTGGAGGAATCTCCACAGATTTTTGCCGAACGTTAGTTTGAACTGTTACCTTCTTGTAGGACCTCATTGCCCAGAAACATATAGATTCATGAATTATCCTTTCTTGATGATTAACTCACTTGATAGATTCTTGAGGCTTCGTTCTGGTTCAAAGATCCGTTCTTTTCGTTTAACTTGTTGTTTGAAGGAGCCGCTAACCGAACGGTTTGAGCGGTGTATTTATTTTCTAGGAAGATTAGGCGTTGAAGAACTTAGTCTGAATTGTTGTTGCGACAGGAGTTGGACTTACACAAAGTTTTATTTTTCTTGTCAACTACTTTCCGAGATGCCGTTGTTGAAAGATTTCAAATTGGGATTCTGTTATTTGCAGCCGAGCTTGAGAATCCAATCTAACTCCCTCCAATCGCTTTCACTTGAATACGTGACGTTGTGTCCTGGTGCTATAGAGTGCGTTTTGTCCAATTGTTTGAGGCTCGACTGTTTGAAAATTAATTACTGCAAATGTCCTTCTAAGCTAAGCATTTGTGGACCCGATCTGAAATTGAAGTCTGTCTATGTAAGTTGCAGTGAAGGTATAGAGGAGGTAGAGTTGTATGCCAGTAATCTCGTCGTATTCGAGTTTTTCAATTGTGAATTGGTTAACTTTAAATTCAACCATGTTCCGAAACTAAAAGGTACATATCTTGGTAGTTCTGAGAAAAACTTTGTGCCTTATATTTGTGGGGAGCTTGCCAAACATTCGCCGAACCTAAAAAACCGTTGATTTTTACAAGTCAATGTGAAGTTCAGGTATGAGAACTGAGAAGCTTCTCTATTACTTTTTTGGCATACCGACTTTTTTATTTACGCCCGGTTTTTTGATACTCAGGAAAGATGCGGACGTATGAGGATTAACATGTTCAGCAACCTTAGGCGATTAC